TAACATGCTTTAATAAAACCAGATGATAAACCTGTATTACGACGCTTTCCACAAACCCAGCTAGTCTTGAGACGCTAAGCAAGTATTTGTCGCGAGTAATCGGATTTGTGTGTGGTTATAACCTTTCATTAATAATCGCTTGTTTACTTGTGGAGATTTGTGTTGGTCGGAACTAAACAAGCTACCCACTTGTTGTATAATACTCCCATTGTCCTGAAAACACATACATCTTGATACCTAGATGAAGAAAGTAATAACCTCAAGATATAATGCGCCATGAAAGGCGTCAGATTGTGGCATGTCGGTTAATGAAGGGGAGGAGCTTTAGTTAAGAATTTCAGATTTTTTAATTTCCGCTTACAATTTCAACCTTTCCATACCAAGAGGTTCCATAATATTGGTATGTTTTTATACTAATACACATGGATTATACAAAGAAAGACTGTGTAATTGTGTAATTATGTTTCATATCTTTGCGAAATTGTGGAGTTATGTTTCTTATCTTAGTAGTTTACAAAAGCAGAAATCTACCTGATAAAAGATCGAAGCTGTGCTCTGATTTGAAGATTTTCGTATTCTTTTTTAAGTTTGAGCTGGAATGACCGAAAAGAACATATTTTAAATCAAAGCCTTTAACAAACTTTAAGTAAAACAAATCTTGTTTGATCAAGTCATAATCGGGGCAGACAAAGACATAATGTAGATTGTCTTCAGTATTGTAGCCACAGTTACACATTGTGCTCTCAGCTATATCTATTAAATGTGTCGGCGTTGAGATCGCTGCAACCAAGTCGGAGGCGGGAGTGAATGATTTGACAGAATCGTGAACCGTAGTTAAGGTCGAAGTAATTAATTTGTTATAGTAACGTTGTCCTTTTTTAATCTCTTTTTAAATTCGCCAACGGATAGAGCGTTTGTACTCTCAGAAGGTTGAGTATTCCAGATATTGACTGTGTCAGGAAGAAATGAGTTGGCATAGTTACTAGTTCTACAATTAATACTTTGGAAGTTTAGATGGTTTCTTAAATTATAAGTGGTTGAATCCCATATTTTATTTGGTAAGAGAGATGACAAATTAGGATGTTTCATAATACATTTTGTCTTTCAAAGCCCAATATTTTTCAACTTCTCACAAACCTTTCCTCATGTTACAATCCAAGGCTCAAGGACGACTTATATCCTTGATATTCATGATTCATGTTTTATTAAAGAAATCGCACCCCTGGTTGTATGTGGCGAGTGAAGATCATTAACCTCCCAGCTGGTAGTACATGGTCGCCTGAGCTGATCACTCGGCCAAACAACTCCTCTCAAAGACCATGACATGTGTTCAACCAGCTCTACTGATAGCATAACAATTGTAAAGCCCCAGTCCGCATTGTCCGTCCTTATTTTAGTTGTATTCCCGGAGCCCCCTAATCTGTTCCTAATTAGTCTCTCGTTGGCCAATCAAGGGAGGCAAATTGCAAGGTGGCGCTCTTGAGGTCACGTGATGTCAGCGGGAGGCGGTCCACAGTGAATGCAGTTTCGGGCTCGAGTGATTTTTAAATGAGCCAATAATTATCACAATTACCCATATAACTAGAAGCCCCTCGCTAGTCAATACACGGACAATGTTTGGAGAATGGCCTGAAAACTATCCCCGACCCCCTTTGGTGCCCCACCCCCAGGCAAACTGATCTTTGGGGCGGGGACGTGAATAGCGAACGAGATTTAAACACTTCATTAAACAAGTGATAACAGCGACCTGGCTCTCAAGAAGGCTTAATCAAAGGTGCCGATTACCAATTACCAGGTAGCAAACAAAGAACCCAAGGTATGATGAAGTGAAGACCTTCATGCCCTTGTTGTTCAATACACATGGACATTGTTGCATATCCACATCAGATCACTGGATACATTGTATTTCTTACTCCGTGGGGACGTTATTCCCCTATTTAGGCTTAACACACCGCTATATTACATGATGCATTCATTCTAAAAAGGGGCGTGTACAGTGTATTGGTTTTGAATATTTTTCTAACGCTATTAAAATGTCATTTTATCTATGGCACGTTTTAGCGGCCTTTCCTCTACAAGTAACAAAGAAGTAAGCAAAATGGGTACCCGGTGGAATAAAGTCATGTGACTATAACCTCCTAGCGCCTGACAGGAGGCTTGGGTTATCCGACGTAATAATGTTTCCCTCCTATAGGCCAGAACTTTGCAATTTGCAAAGCCTCCCTTGGTTGCCTATAGTGATCCTATGATCGTTGTAACGAACCCCGTATTCGGGTAACTGATGTGTGCCCCCCAAACACGTGCCGCGTGGTTTCCACAGCAGCGTTACGACCATCACAACATGCGTCTCATCTTTGCGCTGCCGGGAACTAACATGTCAGGAATACTAAACTGATGTCTACACCAGGGTAAGTGCCAACTCACGAAACACATGTACACTTGATGACCTGAACCAGCCTGACCTAATGGTGGCCCGGGAACCCCCTGCCAGCAAGAGGCGACTTAGGGGATTGGATGGTCAGTGTCCGGGACTTCGTAGACTGCTTGCATTCCCAACCGCTGGGTTGTCTGGCCCAACGTACATGAACAGATCACTAGGTTGTCTGGCTCAACTTACATTAACAGATCACTGGGTTGTCTGGTCCAACTTTGACATCAACAGACTGCTGGGTTGTCTGGCACAACTTACATTAACAGATCACTAGGTTGTCTGGCTCAACTTACATTAACAGATCACTAGGTTGTCTGGCTCAACTTACATTAACAGACTGCTTGCATTCCCAACCGCTGGGTTGTCTGGCCCAACGTACATGAACAGATCACTAGGTTGTCTGGCTCAACTTACATTAACAGATCACTGGGTTGTCTGGTCCAACTTTGACATCAACAGACTGCTGGGTTGTCTGGCACAACTTACATTAACAGATCACTAGGTTGTCTGGCACAACTTACATTAACAGATCACTAGGTTGTCTGGTCCAACTTTGACATTAACAGACTGCTGGTTGTCTGGCTCAACTTACATTAACAGATCACTAGGTTGTCTGGTCGAACTTTGACATTAACAGACTGCTGGTTGTCTGGCTCAACTTACATTAACAGACCGCTGGGTTGTCTGGCTCTACTTACATTAACAGACTGCTGGGTTGTCTGGCACAACTTACATTAACAGATCACTAGGTTGTCTGGCTCAACTTACATTAACAGATCACTAGGTTGTCTGGCTCAACTTACATTAACAGACTGCTGGGTTGTCTGGCTCAACTTACATTAACAGATCACTAGGTGGTCTGGCTCAACTTACATTAACAGACCGCTGGGTTGTCTGGTCCAACTTTGACATTAACAGACTGCTGGGTTGTCTGGCACAACTTACATTAATAGATCACTAGGTTGTCTAGCACAACTTACATTAACAGATCACTAGGTTGTCTGGTCCAACTTTGACATTAACAGACTGCTGGGTTGTCTGGCTCACCTTACATTAACAGATCACTGGGTTGTCTGGTCCAACTTTGACATTAACAGACTGCTGGGTTGTCTGGCTCACCTTACATTAACAGATCACTGGGTTGTCTGGTCCAACTTTGACATTAACAGACTGCTGGGTTTTCTGGCTCAACTTACATTAACAGATCACTGGGTTGTCTGGTCCAACTTTGACATTAACAGACTGCTGGGTTGTCTGGCTCAACTTACATTAACAGATCACTAGGTTGTCTGGCTCAACTTACATTAACAGACTGCTGGTTTGTCTGGTTCAACTTACATTAACAGACCTCTGGGTTGTCTGGCTCAACTTACATAAACAGATCACTAGGTTGTCTGGCACAACTTACATTAACAGACTGCTGGGTTGTCTGGCTCAACCTATATGAACAGATCACTAGGTTGTCTGGCACAACTTACATTAACAGACTGCTGGTTTGTCTGGCTCAACTTACATTAACAGATCACTAGGTTGTCTGGCTCAACTTACATTAACAGATCACTAGGTTGTCTGGCTCAACTTACATTAACAGATCACTAGGTTGTCTGGCTCAACTTATATTAACAGACTGCTGGGTTGTCTGGCTCAACTTACATTAACAGATCACTAGGTTGTCTGGCTCAACTTACATTAACAGACTGCTGGGTTGTCTGGCACAACTTACATTAACAGATCACTAGGTTGTCTGGCACAACTTACATTAACAGACTGCTGGGTTGTCTGGCTCAACTTACATTAACATACTGCTGGGTTGTCTGGCTCAACTTACATTAACAGATCACTAGGTTGTCTGGCTCAACTTACATTAACAGATCACTAGGTTGTCTGGCTCAACTTATATTAACAGACTGCTGGGTTGTCTGGCTCAACTTACATTAACAGATCACTAGGTTGTCTGGCACAACTTACATTAACAGACTGCTGGGTTGTCTGGCACAACTTACATTAACAGATCACTAGGTTGTCTGGCACAACTTACATTAACAGACTGCTGGGTTGTCTGGCTCAACTTACATTAACAGACTGCTGGGTTGTCTGGCTCAACTTACATTAACAGATCACTAGGTTGTCTGGCTCAACTTACATTAACAGATCACTAGGTTGTCTGGCTCAACTTACATTAACAGACTGCTGGGTTGTCTGGCACAACTTACATTAACAGATCACTAGGTTGTCTGGCTCAACTTACATTAACAGACCTCTGGGTTGTCTGGCTCAACTTACATAAACAGATCACTAGGTTGTCTGGCACAACTTACATTAACAGACTGCTGGGTTGTCTGGCTCAACTTACATTAACCGATCACTGGGTTGTCTGGTCCAACTTACATTAACAGACCGCTGGGTTGTCTGGCTCAACTTACATTAACAGACCGCTGGGTTGTCTGGCCAACTTCGACATTAACAGACTGCTGGGTTGTCTGGCCCATCCTCGACATTAACAGACCACTGCAGTATAACTATCTGTTGGATGTTGTGCTGGACATATAATGTTTGAGTAGTGTCTCACCTGCACCCTTGCCTCCGTCAGGTCCACCTTATCTGCGATCTGTTCCCGGAGGGTGCAGTCGGGGTAGTGTGTGTGCTGGAACACTGACTCAAGCTCTCGGAGCTGCTCGGCAGAGAATGTTGTTCTGTTTCTTCTCTGTTTCTTGCTTGACCCACTTCCGTCGGAACTGATCCCAGCCTCGTCATCTGCTGATACAGGGAGAATATGTGGTCAAAGACATATAGCACGTGGCTGAGTAACAATACTCGCAGCAGTAGTAGTCAGCTAAACTGGGCCATGTTCCACGTTTACGTCACTATACCTACAGGTGTATGGATACCAGTAGGCTACACTGGGCCATGTTCCACGTTGACGTCACTATACCTACAGGTGTATGGATACCAGTAGGCTACACTGGGCCATGTTCCACGTTGACGTCACTATACCTACAGGTGTATGGATACCAGTAGGCTACACTGGGCCATGTTCCACGTTGACGTCACTATACCTACAGGTGTATGGATACCAGTAGGCTACACTGGGCCATGTTCCACGTTGACGTCACTATACCTACAGGTGTATGGATACCAGTAGGCTACACTGGGCCATGTTCCACGTTGACGTCACTATACCCACAGGTGTATGGATACCAGTAAGCTAAACTGGGCCATGTTCCACGTTTACGTCACTATACCTACAGGTGTATGGATACCAGTAGGCTACACTGGGCCATGTTCCACGTTGACGTCACTATACCTACAGGTGTATGGATACCAGTAGGCTACACTGGGCCATGTTCCACGTTGACGTCACTATACCTACAGGTGTATGGATACCAGTAGACTACACTGGGCCATGTTCCATGTTTACGTCACTATACCTACAGGTGTATGGATACCAGTAGACTACACTGGGCCATGTTCCACGTTGACGTCACTATACCCACAGGTGTATGGATACCAGTAAGCTAAACTGGGCCATGTCCCACGTTTACGTCACTATACCTACAGGTGTATGGATACCAGTAGGCTACACTGGGCCATGTTCCACGTTGACGTCACTATACCTACAGGTGTATGGATACCAGTAGACTACACTGGGCCATGTTCCACGTTGACGTCACTATACCTACAGGTGTATGGATACCAGTAGACTACACTGGGCCATGTTCCACGTTGACGTCACTATACCAACAGGTGTATGGATACCAGTAAGCTAAACTGGGCCATGTCCCACGTTTACGTCACTATACCTACAGGTGTATGGATACCAGTAGGCTACACTGGGCCATGTTCCATGTTGACGTCACTATACCTACAGGTGTATGGATACCAGTAGACTACACTGGGCCATGTTCCATGTTGACGTCGCTATACCTACAGGTGTATGGATACCAGTAGACTAGACTGGGCCATGTTCCACGTTGACGTCACTATATCTACAGGTGTATGGATACCAGTAGGCTAAACTGGGCCATGTTCCACGTTGACGTCACTATACCTACAGGTGTATGGATACCAGTAGACTACACTGGGCCATGTTCCACGTTGACGTCACTATACCTACAGGTGTATGGATACCAGTAGACTACACTGGGCCATGTTCCATGTTGACGTCACTATACCTACAGGTGTATGGATACCAGTAGACTACACTGGGCCATGTTCCATGTTGACGTCACTATACCTACAGGTGTATGGATACCAGTAGGCTAAACTGGGCCATGTTCCACGTTTACGTCACTATACCTACAGGTGTATGGATACCAGTAGGCTACACTGGGCCATGTTCCACGTTGACGTCACTATACCTACAGGTGTATGGATACCAGTAGACTACACTGGGCCATGTTCCATGTTGACGTCACTATACCTACAGGTGTATGGATACCAGTAGACTACACTGGGCCATGTTCCATGTTTACGTCACTATACCTACAGGTGTATGGGTACCAGACCGTCTATTCGATGAGCGAGAACGTTTTCCACTTTGCTACCTCCCTTAGTACGAAAGTTTAATGATTCTATCAAGACTCCTAAACAGGAACTCGAACTTAAGTGAAATGCAGCCAGTCCAAGAGGTTATAATTAACTATATATACAAGGAAACGTCACACCCCTGTGACAGTATTATATATATCATATAGCATATAACATATACCATATACCATATACATATAGTGTATAGCATATACTGCACGTATATAGTATGTAGTATATATCATATAACATATAACATATAGCATATAGTATACCGTATATTATATATAGCATATAGTATTATAAATGTGGTCAGTTTGATTTTTGAAACACTTTTCTCTAATTTACATGTCCCATAGAATTTGATAACTCCGTGCTTCATGCTGTTTCTTCTCGATCTTCAACGACTCCATGATCACGTTTAATAATTAAAGGAAAACTGAGTTAATACACACGTTTGCGTGAACGTAATATGAGAATACTGTTTTAGTTAGAAAATGTTTTGGATTGTTTAAATCTCCCTGAAACGGATGGTGCAGTCAAAGCGTTCCAGTGTCGTCACAATAGCCAGATTGTTATGTTTATTAAAATTACTTGCTAAATATTACACGTGTTTCTGCTGTCAGTGAAACTGATACGAGCATGTAATTATAGACAACCCCCTTATACTGATACCTCTACACAATGCACTTGTCCTGAGGGAATACCCCGCAACGTCCGGCAAACTGAGATACATTATATTCCAAATATTCCCATATTTCTTCTATGAAAACATGTTCAGCTTTCAGTTGCAATTCGTCAAGACTGAAGTAAACAACATGGGTTTAGCAAAACGTCTGTAAATGTACAGGTAAGTGCACAGGTAAATATATACAGAGCATTAGAGCTTATCGTCAACAAAATGAGTGAATAAAGACAATGTAATTACTGGAGTAATCTGGTGTAATCAATGTATATAATTGTTACTTTGTATCTGACGACTGTCACTGTCGTGACGTTTAACAAAGTATATATATAATTGTTACTTTGTATCTGACTACTGTCACTGTCGTGACGTTTAACAAAGTATATACTAATATATAATTGTCACTTTGTATCTGACGACTGTCGCTGTCGTGACGTTTAACAAAGTATATACTAATATATAATTGTTACTTTGTATCTGACGACTGTCACTTTCGTGACGTTTAACAAAGTATATACTAATATATAATTGTTACTTTGTATCTGACGACTGTCACTTTCGTGACGTTTAACAAAGTATATACATAATTGTTACTTTGTATCTGACGACTGTCACTGTCGTGACGTTTAACAAAGTATATATGTAATTGTTACTTTGTATCTGACGACTGTCACTGTCGTGACGTTTAACAAAGTATATATGTAATTGTCACTTTGTATCTGACGACTGTCGCTGTCGTGACGTTTAACAAAGTATATACTAATATATAATTGTTACTTTGTATCTGACGACTGTCACTTTCATGACGTTTAACAAAGTATATACATAATTGTTACTTTGTATCTGACGACTGTCACTGTCGTGACGTTTAACAAAGTATATACTAATATATAATTGTTACTTTATATCTCACGACTGTCACTGCCGTGACGTTTAACAAAGTATATACTAATATATAATTGTTACTTTGTATCCCACGACTGTCACTGCCGTGACGTTTAACAAAGTATATACTAATATATAATTGTTACTTTGTATCTGACGACTGTCGCTGTCATGACGTTTAACAAAGTATATACTAATATATAATTGTTACTTTGTATCTGACGACTGTCACTGTCGTGACGTTTAACAAAGTATATACTAATATATAATTGTTACTTTATATCTGACGACTGTCGCTGTCGTGACGTTTAACAAAGTATATACTAATATATAATTGTTACTTTGTATCTGACGACTGTCACTGTCATGACGTTTTACAAAGTATACATATATAATTGTTACTTTATATCTGACGACTACCGATATCATGACGTTTAACAAAGTATATATATAATTGATTCTTTGTATCTGCCGACTGTCACTGTCATGACGTTTTCCAAAGTATATACTAATATATAATTGTTACTTTGTATCCCACGACTGTCATGACGTTTAACAAAGTATATATATAATTGTTACTTTGTATCTGACGACTGTCACTTTCATGACGTTTTCCAAAGTATATACTAATATATAATTGTTACTTTGTATCTGACGACTGTCACTGTCATGACGTTTAAGAAAGTATATATATAATTGTTACTTTGAATCTGGCGACTACCGATATCATGACGTTTAACAAAGAATATATATAATTGTTACCTGTGTGGTAATATATGTGGATGAATGTATGGATTAGGACTTTTTAACAAGGTTATTACATAATATGGTGTAGTTATCAACTTGAATATATTCATGTCCAAATGCAATCAACAAAACCTTAGAAACAATTTCAGTCTCTCAAAACCCCTAATGCTGCTTTAGTCATCAATATGAAGACTGCCTTAATTTTTTCCTTCAGTTGTCAAAATTTGACTGATCTCCGCAGTAAGATTAACTTCTGTTATACATGTTTTACATTAAATACAAATATGTTGAAAGAAAAACAAGTTTAGGCAACCAACATTCTGACCATTGTTTTTCAACGGGCAGATTCCGTAGATTTAGATATCGACAAATACTAAATCACACGTATCTGTTGTCGCCCTAGACGGAGGATGGATAGATAGATTTACAGGACTAAGTATGGTGTTTCACTGATTCAGCACTATGGATATTTTATTATATCAAAAGGCGAGGGGGCATGATCAATATCTTACCATCATTCGCATTAAGACTTTCATCTCTCTCAGAATTGGCGGAGGAAGCATCATCATCCTCAACATTCAAAGTGACGTCGTCATCATCAAAACTTCGTTCGGTAACATCGTCGCTGTTCTCAGTTTTCATACTGTCGGTTCAATGCCTTAACGTTGAGTATCTACAAAGTCAGCACCTTGCAGCCAATGTAGATTTAGGCGTAAAAACTGCAACCTTCCGAGGTTGGAGCTGTGGACTTGACTGGGTGGGTTAGGAAGATACGGAGGGTTAGGCAAACACGTCCTCTAATCTGATCTCTGTTTCTGATGAATGAACAAGAGCTCTATCATGGGGTTTACACCTCACTTGTCATAATACCACAAGTCGCTCCACTAATCTTTCTAATTTCTCCGAATGCTGAGAATTGTTAGAAGATTGAGATCTAGGAATGGAGTTAACAAGAGGCTTAAAATGCACCATTCTTCTTTCAGCCAATCAGATGCCTTCTCGCTCAGGGGGGCCCCAGGAGAAAACAGGAGGAGGGGGCGGGGTACAGCGTCATTCGTTGGGACAGCTTCATTAGACCAGAGGGGATTAAGAGACGGATAATTAGAGGTGTGGGTATTGGACTTGTTTGTCTGGTAATTGTTTCGTGATATTCATCCGCCGCCATGTTGGCTTTAAAAGATGTGATTGTTCAGACCAGATTTCATGGAATGGGATTTTCATCTGGGGTTGGCTCAATATTATTGAAACTGCCGTCACATTAGACACCATTAAACCGAGGTAGATACGTAATGATTTACAGTGGTTCTTCTTCATTGTAAAAAGATCTGGTGTAAGATGCTAAGTGGGCAGCTTTGTTCGAGAATGTACAATAAACTACCTTTATAACGAACGCGCTTGCAACGAACCGATGAATATATCGAACTATTTCCTGGGATGGTGTAATCCCAGGAAATAGTTCGATATATTCAACGGTTCAGCCGCTGGCGATTGTACTCGAATTAGCTGCCACCTAAAAAACCCAAATATACTTCGATTAAAAAACTGGTAGATACCTTGAGATACATGGACTTACCTACGCTCTCGGGGGGAGGGGGGGGGGAAGAAAGCATTAATTTGACGGCACTTCCCCGTCGTGGGCATCGCCATAAACAATTTCGGTTTATAATACAACCTTAACTAATTTGTCAATTAATTCAATTTCCCTAAAATATTAATGATTTACGTGAACTAATGCTATTAAAGAGATCCTTCATTGATGTTGATTGGACATATTGATCCCTTGTGATGGAAATATCAATACAGTCAAGCAGGACATGCTTGACCGTGATTCTCTCATCACAAGGGACACACAATGGAGGATCCTCACCTTTCAATTAATATTCATGCGTTTATCTGTTGTGGCCAGTACGACATCGTCGCATGATGACCTCTTGAAATGTGGACTGGCAACCCAGGCAGATGTGACCGATGGCTGGTTTAATGTCATGTAACCTAGTCATACCTACTTGGGTGTCCCGCTTCTTTTGTTTTAGACCATGAATGTAAGATCTAATCATAGGTTTATAGGATCAAGCAAAACAGCATACCGCCATGAATATTGGGAAGCAACGTGTATGCAGCATGCTTGAATAATAAACGAGCCTTCGACACGTTCTGACACAGAGGACTTCGACACGTTCTGACACAGAGGACTTCGACACGTTCTGACACAGAGGACTTCGACACGTTCTGACACAGAGGACTGTTTTTAACGTCACACCAACTCAGGATCTCAGGACTCTCACGGAAGCTTCTATTCGATGCCTATACACATCTAACAAGCTCAGTCGCAGTGAATGGAACCCAGTCAAGATCATTCCCAATACAACAAGGGGTACGACAAGGAGGAGTCCTATCCACAACCCTCTACCTCATATTTATATAGACGAACTCCTTGGTCAACTCGAATCTTCAAACTGTGGTGTCAATGTCATGGATCTGAGTCATGATAATCCTACCGACGTCACCTTGTTAGCCATATCCCCAAGTGCCCTCCAGTCAACGCTAGATATTGTCTCTAAATATGCTAGCAAGTGAAGATATGAACTCAATCCTTCAAAGTGTCATGTGATCGTCTTTGGCCCTAAAGCTGGATCTTCTACAGTAGAATGGCACATCACTGGCGAAAATGTGTCCACAATATCCTTTACACTCCACTTAGGGATGCAAGTCATCAATCACCTGAAAATGATGGCTCTGTGACTCACTCCTTCAAGAAAGCTAAAGCCTGCTTCCATGCTCTGATAGAATTGGATTGAAACCCAAAGGAGTAAACTCGTTGAAATCTGGAATCACAAGACCACATTGCCGCATATTGTATGGACTTGGACTCAACTTTCCCGACAAAATATCAGACACCTTTCTTCAACATGACATTACATGGGAAAAAACACTGCAAGGATTCCACCTCCGGACGAGAATGTGTTGAGCATGATAAACTGGCTACCAATCATAGAGGATATACACAAAAGACAAATGATGTTCTTCCATAGACTCTTCTCACTCCCAGAAGACATGCAGCAGAATAGTGAGCACGCACAGACAGTGATGAAGACTTCCGGCGCTTGAAAATGCTATAGCAAGTTCCTGGACCTACAACGTCTACGTCGACGACGACGAATCGCCGTTCGGCTTCTGCATGTGTGTAAGGGACAAAGCGGATCTCCGCACCGGGAACATTGACCACTCTATCCCGGTGTGCGTTCTGTGATGTGTTTACGTGTACCATTTAGACCATTATTTCCCAACCATAATAAACATGGCTGTCGTTGTTGTCTTCAATTCTACCGCTGACTTCTGTTTTCCGTCTGTTGTCCACCATCCCGATCTACCATCCGAGGCCTTGGTGATGAATTATCACAAGTCGTTTCTTAATTCGTGATATTGTTCTTGGTTCATAAGTGAGTTGGTTTCAGATTTCGTAAGTTTAGTTAAAGTAAGGTCCACCTCTGACCTTACTAACTGCCATGGTGGAGAAGAGAAAAGATGGGCTGGGGCTATATTTTTAAGAGTTATGTTAACTGCAGAAATATTCTTATTCCAAGTGGTGGAATAAGTGATGATTTTTCTTTATAGAGTTCTTTATACAGAGGATGAAAAACACAGTTAGATGCAGGATTTGATTCAGTTGAAAAGGGTAATTTAAAGCGGCGAAGTTTAAGGGACGGCTCATCAGCCTCCACATATAAATTCTGAATCGGTGAAGTTATAAAGTCTCCAAGGCAGTGCTTGAGGCCTTCGTGAGGAATAGAATTAAGTATTTTTAAATTGCAATTACAAGCTCCGCTATAATGTTGCCTAAAGAAAAGATAAATTTGCCCTAAAAATAGCGTTAATATATGTTATTTTTGAAAATATAGGCATTGAAGTTTTCTAATTGTCAAACATAGTGATCATTTGAACTTGTCAAATTTGTATTTTGTGCAAAGAAAACATCAGATGGCACTATTGTACGTGGTCAGATGGCACTGTTAAGTGATCAGGTAGCACTATTAAGTCAGATGGCACTATGAAGTGGTCGGATGGCACAATTAAGTGGTAATATCAAGTGGTCAGATCGCTCAATTAAGTGATCAGGTCGCACTATTAGCCAATATACGTTAGTGGTTTTCCACTAAGTCCTATTTTCACAGTTACCTCCCTTTGAAAATATCCAATATGGCGTCGAGAAGTGTCAAAGCAATGTGAACAATAATATATTATTGCTCTAATCAAATAACGCCGTGGCATGATTGCATGATATCCCTTGTAATGGACAGGTTATTGTCTCGGTTCACATGAGTGACATAGTTGAAAAAACGCTGGCATCCTTTCCGAAGTTTCTGTCGGAAGGGCTCCTCGGAGGCAGCCAGACTCGATCATCCAAACATGACATTCCCCCGGGTCTACGCCAGTTAATTGCGGCCACATTGAGTGCACGGTCAAAGAGCGTAAGTGTGACACACTTTGTTAGTTATAACATATCCCAGCATGCACTCTAAGCTAGGAAAGAGTTCTTTACGTACCCGCAGCCTATTTCATAAGGTACTTTTCATTACTTGTATATCTTTGTATTTATTTGAAAAAAATAATTGGGGGGGTACGTAAGGAACTCTTACCCTACGCTATGTGTTTGATGATGTAAATTATTTACGAAATATGTACAAATAAATAAATAAATATTGACAAATAAATCCTTTATCGAAAACCATGCCTGTAATAATTAAATGCAACATACATCTCATGATAATAATGATTAACCAGAAGCCACAAACATGTACCATAATAATCTTATTATGAGTAAATCGCTTAAAACGTAGGAAGATGAGCGGGTTATTAACGTGGCTGAGCAAGGTTATGTCTGAATGAGGAATCATTAAACGAAACAGGATTTAAAACGTATAAATACTTCAGTCAATCTTGGTGCATATTTCTGTCCGACTGAAATGTTCTTACATCTATATCCAATTAAATACCACCCCAGAAGGTTCCTATTCATCATAGTTAAAGGGGCACTGATCCAGAGCAATGTTCGTAGACTGGTTGTTGCTTTTGTTATTGTTTTTCTCCACCTGTGAATACGCAGATGATATCCCAGATTTCTTGACTGGTTAGTTACCTCTGCTGCGCCACCCTTGTGCACAAATGATAGTATAAGTATAGACTGATCAACAAAGATGAAATCTTTTTTACTCGATAATATTTCCATCTTCATTATTATAATAACAAATGAAAACAGTTTGAAGTTTAACCATCTGCCGGTGGTAAAAAAAGTTAGGACTGAAAAATAACGAATGTACGTCTTTATATTTTGTCATATCCTAATTAGTTTTTTATCATATTTGTATGCATTTTGAAACTTAATAAAATGCACAGGATTAGCTTATACTTAGTGAATTACATGACTGTAATATCTAAAGATTTTATAGACTGCCAACATGAATCATATTTCACACACACACACACCTAAGTGCGACCTAGTGTATGTTGTCTGTCTCATTACACTTAATGGCAAAAACAAATGATTCTGTTGAATGCTATAACAAATGAATAAAACAAAATGCAAATATTAAAATTAAAACAGACTAAAGTTATAGCAACAATATCAGGCTATTACCATTTTCAGGGAATGTATCCATCAATATCCACATAAAGGAATGATATGCCATTCATCTGCAGCTGACAAAGAATCCTGTTCCATGTCATGTGTCTTTTAACAGTCTGATATGAGGTAAAGTGATCTGTTGTTTCACATCTCATTGTCTCATTGGTCACCCAAGATAGTACACCTGGCAACTAATTGCATGATGTCCGCCATTCTTTAAAAAGGTAATTTAGTTAGTCAATAATGAGCAATCAATCAATGTATTGGTGGTTAATCCTTTGAAGGAAGGGCGTTGTTTTTTACACAGACACTTTACGACAGGGGACAGGGGGTATTCAGTATAGATTAGTAAATCCACATACATAAACACTACCTTTTGACAAATCCGTTGTGCAAGATAAAAACAATTAATCAATCAGTGTGTTATTGGTTAATCCTTTGGTCGATGTTATTCAGCACTTCCATGCACATATTACATAAGATGTAATACATTTGCCACATCAGACCTCAATGTATAATAATGAGTATTTACTCCAGACACAAGAAATGCCAAATGGGAACCTTTGACAGGTAATCTGAGTGGTGTTCCCACTAATTATACCTGTTATGAATTCATTAACTGACCATCAAGTGAATGATGACAAATAACATGTGTAGATTTACCACCAAACACGCGTTACAGCAAGAGAGTAGTAATCGCTGGATTGCATGCAAGTTTGATTGCCTGAAAAAATTCTTATGGGCCGACACTGTTTTGAGGATACGAATGGAACTTCATTGTTGCATAAGAAATACATATAAGCATTTGCTGTTAACCTATGAACCTAAGTAAATTTGAAGATTTTTTTAGCAGTGGCAAAGTGGGGTTGTTTAGTTTACGGATTCAAATACTAGTACATCAAATGTGTGTGTTGTAATATCATATCATAGGTGATAAACATCATATTTTTATATGACAGGATAAAATATCGAGTTAAAAGACACAGAAATAGGATCAAATTGGATCAGTCATTTTACCATCCAAGCATTAGAAAATCTGAAAAAGACTACACTGCTGGGATACTTTATTACAATAAGACAAGAAGTACCGGGGATATTTTCAAATAGTGGCATCTGATGGGCATCCACCCTTCCTAATGCCCTACTGTTTAGGTTAAAGACATTCTGCCAAGGTGGACAGTAGCCCAGTCTCCGTATCCGTCACAGTTGAGGGAGCAGGTACTCACCAGTCTGCAGCTTGGCTTTGTAATTAGACTGTTGGCTAGAGTACTAGAAGCATTAATCGCTCTGGATCAGTGCCCCTTTAAAGCATGCCCACTTGTAAATCATACAGTCCCTTCCCCCACTCTGAACATTATCTCTGTCACAAGCGTTCGGTCTGACTTGGCAAAGGCTCTCAAAAGCAAATCAAACCGAACAGATGTATCTTGAATTGTGTTTCAATCCATAAAATCGTATTATATCTGCCTAAAAACCACATTGTGATGTTACAATACATCACATGTAAAGATAGCTGGTGAAGCCCTTTTCCCTGTCCATTCCCAACATAGCCTCAATCAAAAGTGTTTAGTCTCTGATCAGTCCTACTTGGCCTGGGTTCTCTTTGTGAACATTTAGAAATTAGAGGAACAAAAATTTGATGTTCAGCTAGCTTGGCCTGTTTTTGTAGTGGGCTGTTGGAGCAGAGTTGGGGCGATGCATGCCTTCCTGTCCTCCTTGGAAATTGTCTGACCGAAGGTACAGAACATATACCCACCAAGGTCAGGTACGAGGCCCGGTACGAGTTTTCCAACAATACTCCCAGGAATGTTTGCTAGGCCTACTGTTGGCCAGGCTCACTCGGGTTCTAGGTAGAAGATATACCCGCCTGGTGGTGGCCTTCTGGCGAACCCTCTACAGGTGTATGTTCCTTCAGGTATCTGTATGGCCTCTCTCAATACTTCCCTCGGAAAGAAGCCCGGGCTCTATGGACATCCTGGCGGTAGTAGGGCTTCCCATTTGGGAAACACAAATTCTACATGTCGATCCTCTTTCTTTTCCGAAATGGGCGAGTAGCGGACTTTGCCAAGCCTACTCAGAAATGGCCCACCAACCAACCATAGCTTTTCTATTCCACTGTTGTCTCACATAGTTTCTTGTAGCTTGTAGCCATATACTGGAATAGTAGCAGCAACTGTCAGTTCTTCCCACTGTACTTCCCTACTGCAAACCTTTTTCATGCATAGATGCACTCCCGGAACATCTGTAGCTTTTCTGTGTTTGTTGCAATGGCGATGCTGCCACTTCCATATACTTTGGCCCGCTTTAGGTTGGCAATGGGGCAAATATTTCTCCGTCCAGGTGGTGGGTCTGCTTTCCCAGCTAGCTGCTGGGAGATATAAGAACTTTTCTCGCATGTGCAATTGTCTACCAAATTGTCGGGGGTCTTGAATTCTTCTGGAACCTCTAGCGGGAGTCGCTTCGGGGGTGTATAGTCTATATCTTTGTTTTTACAGAGAGCGCATTTCTTGCTGCAAACGCAGTGGTTTGTGGCGCCGCACTTGCAAGTAGAGTTGTCTTGGTCGAACATGGCAGGTACTTGGGGTATAGCAGGGAGGCAGTCAGTGCATTGGTAGTGTCTGTCCTTTGTTTCTGGGCAGTCGGCGAGAACGATTCGGAGTTTGCCTGCTGCAAGTTGAAGTTGGTTAGGGTATATGTAAACAAAATCTACTATTTTGCCCGTTTTCTACGAATTGGCTAAAGCACAGTAAATATAGTTCAAGATACTGTCTATGAATCGGATATCTCTAATAGAATGTGTGTCCCGATTGCTCTTGATTTCTTTCTCTTTGTCGGAAAGGAATAGATGGGGACACTTTTCTAGCAGGGTCTCGAAGACCATTGTCCAGCTTGGCCCCGTTTGTGTTTCAGAACTTGGGTCTGTTTGTGCTTCTGTGTCACAGTGTGTGTGTTTGTATCTCAGAGTCTATATTGCCTTGGATTTTTCCCCCACTACTATACTACTCAGTTTACGTCCATAGATTATATAATATAATAACATATTATAATAAATAAAAAATACTTTTTTATTTATACAATATTTTTATTAAAACATTGTTACAACTGTCACAGGACATTTTCAGTCGCAGAAAAAGCATACATGTACCCCAAGGAAGATTCTCTTCAAAGAATTGAAAACCTCTACAGGTTTGGCTAAGTTTCAGTACTGTGTCTCAATTTGTATGCTGACTGGAGTCTTTTGAGATGATCTTGTATCCTTTCGAGTACAATCTTCTCAAGAATCTTGGGTAGGAATGCCAGATTTGAGATAGGGTGGAAGTTGTTCAATACCTTGGTATCCAAAGATGCCTCTTTGAGGTGCTTGTTTCAATACAGGAGGGACATGACCGGTCTCAACCAAACAGAGCTTGTTTAAATACAGGAGGACATGACCGGTCTCAACCAAACAGTGCTTGTTTAAATACAGGAGGGACATGACGGGTCTCAACCAAACAGAGCTTGTTTAAATACAGGAGGGACATGACCGGTCTCAACCAAACAGTGCTTGTTTAAATACAGGAGGGACATGACCGGTCTCAACCAAACAGTGCTTGTTTAAATACAGGAGGGACATGACCGGTCTCAACCAAACAGTGCTTGTTTAAATACAGGAGGGACATGACCGGTCTCAACCAAACAGTGCTTGTTTAAATACAGGAGGGACATGACCGGTCTCAACCAAACAGTGCTTGTTTAGATACAGGAGGAACATGACCGGTCTCAACCAAACAGTGCTTGTTTAAATACAGGAGGGACATGACCGGTCTCAACCAAACAGTGCTTGTTTAAATACAGGAGGGACATGAC